TCTTGTTTCTTTCAATGAATTAGTTATTTAATTTGAAGGTTAAATATAATCAGTGACAGATCTTACTCTTGAAAAAAAAAGTGCTTTCGTATATTGTATCAACATTTTAGGATATGTTGACTGTATTGTTATAGAAATACTCTTCTCATCAACGATTATTTCTTTTTTTATGGCATATTATCTGTTTCTTTTTCATTGTACAACCGTGTTATAAGTAAAATAAACTCGTTTACTAACAATGTATTGAGCAAAACAAAATAGGCTGAAATTGAGAATTACTGGCGAGACTATGATAACATAAGAACTTTCTTTTAGGGACATAGCAGAAAGCTTTCCTTGAAACTTGTGAACGATAAGCGAAAAAAAGAAAATCTCAAGTCTCAAAGTACGATTTTATACTTGACCTCATATATTTAGGTTTTTCAATAGAGATATTTTTACAGTTGTATGATCCTAGTAGTTGTCATAACTATCTCGATAGAACGGAATCTTTTCTCATATTTTTGCGTCGAAAGGATGAATACGGAAGTACTAGTCATTGATAATTTCCAATAGTCGGTTAAAAGTAGTCCAGAAAAGTTAGTTCAAAAGTTTTAAATTGAAAAACCTTCATTGTACACAGAATTGAACTTCTCTTGGTTGGTTAACTTCTCATGACCATAATAAATTCATTCAGCATAATCTGAGGCCCATATCGTTTGATGAGAATCCATTAGGTCAATATTTATAGCTGCGATTTTCATGCTGACTAGAAATTTGTCAGTTGGAGACTTTCGAACCCATCGCTTTAGATCTTCAAAGGCATGGAAATTGATAAAAACAAGTAAAAGTATTCCAGGTTACAATTCAAGCATGAAACGTTTTCTACTCATCGTAAAGTTATCCTTCTTCTAGCTATACCACAATAGTCGATATTTACAGAATTTTAATATCAATTATAGCAAATAAAACACTGGTAAAGTAATTGGACACATTTCAAATGCTCTAAGATATTATTTGATAGTTAAATATTTTCAAATATAACTAAAATAAAACGATTTATGTAAGATCTATCAGTGAGTTTTATTTAAATATCAATTCTATGTAAAAGAAGACAATATATATATGCAAAAAAAGTACTTTTGAACTCAAGTCGAGAAAACAAAATGAAACTTTGAGTGAATGATTTTGTGATGATGACATTTATTTAGCACACAGTGAACAATGTATCACATGTATTTATACAAAAAAACAAAATCGACTAGGAAAAATCTTGATTTTTTTCAAGAAAATTTCGAATACGTTGAGCATCTTCTTTGATTTTTTCGTCGTCAGGTGATAGTTTCAGAGCAGCTTCATAATCAAGAAGTCCTATAAAGAGAAAAAAAATGATTTAGTTAAAAATTAAATAATTCTTATAACATATACCTTCAGCATAAAGTTCTAATTCACAAAAAGCAGTACCACGACGAACATGTGCTTTTACACGTTGTAACAAATTGTCTGGTACAGGTGGGTCAAGTAATTCCAGTGCCTAACAGAAACATACAAAATATAACTAATTAAAATTTTGCACATACATACTCGAGAACAATCTTCTACACATTTCATCATATTTCGTACTTGAAAATGACATGCACCACGATTCAAATATAATCTTTAAATATGATCAATGTTAAGTAAAATATATAAATTCACTCATGAATTTAATCTTACATAGCCATTTTAGGAAAAACTCGAACAGCATGATTATAAACACCAATTGCCGATTGAAAATTACCTTGTTGAAAAAATTGACTAAAAAAAGATAAATAATTCGATTAAATCAATCGAATTAACCAAATAATAGTTTACTTTGCTTTTGCTTTTAGATAATCGATATCTTTTTCATTATCAGATAAATCAAGTTGAAGATCTGTACTGGCTTGACGACTTTCTACTTGTTTTCTTAACCACTATTACATGAATAAAAAACAAATATAGATCCTATTGAATCTATTCATCAGTTTTCAAACTTAAACAAACAATTCAATCTTAAATATTGATATCAAACAAAACAAAATCAAGCAATTAATTAAGATAAAGTCTGCATGACTTCGAATGATTTTGTACGATATCTATATTAACAAACTACAATTTGATGGTTTCAAATATAACCTAATACTGCACTTTGTCTGTATCAAAATCAGATTCAATTATAGCATACGAAAGCAGGTACATGCTGATACCTTCATGCTATTAAAGTAACTTCATTTAGTAAATGAAGCTATTCACATTAGATAAAAAAAAAAAAATTATTTGAATTGCATTTATTATATAACTTGACCTCGTTCAATTAGAGGTGTAGACTAATACATTGATGGGCAGCAGTAGCGGCTACTGAAATTTCTAAATGAATTTTAAAAAAAATTTCTTAACTTCGAGAAATTTTGAAATGAAAAAGACAAAAAAATAATAGCAGTAGTTGGATTTCATAAGTTCGGAAATCGTGAAACCTACGAAACTCAAGAAGTTCTTGGAAGGATGTAAGCATTGATGTAGATGTTTGATGAACGTAGATATGGGTTAGTTCCATGAGTTCTGAAGGTTCTGTGAGTGAAGTTGTACTTTTGAGAGTTTCATGAGTTCAAAACTCACAGAATCTTAACATATCTCACCAACAGTAACGGCTGCTCAGTTGATCGGCTTATATCTCTACTTCTAACAAATCTAATTCCGATTTTTTCGAATTACTCAACCTCATATTAGACTCAAAAGGTTATATCGAAATCTTGATATTGATAGATGTATTTGACATACCTGTTCTTCGACATCTGTTTGAGATTCACGAAGTGGTGTGGGAAAAATACGGGATGTAAAATTGACAGCAATACGGCCTGTTTCTCTAAGTGGTACGTTTTTCTTTGATTCTAAACTAATTCATACAGTTTTTCATACATCTATATTTATTAAAGATTAGTTCTAATTTACCTGGTAATGGATTTGTTGAAGTGTTTTCTTCAAAAATTGTTTTTTTCTTTTCTTCTTCTTCTTCTGTTTCATTCAGTAATTGAGTTTCATTTGATTTAATCTAAATAGAAAAAGATTGAAATTAAAGAGAAAAAAAATAATTATCATTTTCTAAATTCTACATGATTTTGTATTGCTAATTGCCGTTGAACTTTTTGATTTTCTTCAAATTGTTTCATTTCATCGCTAATTTTGTCACGTTCATTTTTTTTAATCATATCAATTCGATTGCGTTCAACTTCATCAAGCTATAATTTAAAGAGAAAACAAAAAGAAATCTTTTCTTTCCAATAGAATTCAACAAATAAACCTTCATTTGTTCTCGAACAGCTTCACGTTTATTTGTATTTAATAATGATGAATTTGCTTCAGTACGTTGTTTTTGTTTAAGAGCAATTTGATTTAATGCTTTTTCACGAAGATTTTTCATTACTTCTTTATCATCTAAATATAAGATTAAATAATTTTATCAAATGGATAAAAAAAGAAACGCCTAAATATAAGTAACCTGATTGAATATGTGACAGTTGGTTCCATTTTCGAGATATTTGTTTGGTTAATGTTACTTCAACAAAACCATTTTGTACAATAATTCGACTTTTATCATCATCAATAAGATCATAAAGAAAAACTTCATAGAAAAATGGAGGAAATGAAACCTATAGTTTATGGAAAAAAAAATCAATTAATTAACTATCAGACAAAAAAAAAAACAATCATCTAGACATGCTTTAAGATATTGATCCGATGAAAGTACATCAAGTTTATTTGCTTTTGCACCTTTCATTGGAATATGTAAAACTAAATTTGCATCTGTTTCTTCCCAATTAATATCACGTATGATAACAGGCATTGTTGATTTCTTTTTAGATTTAATGTATTCAAAAAGAACAGATACTTTATTTAATCACTTTGGGACTCAAGAAATAAACATTTATAGAAATTATGGTTGTCATGCATATTCCTTCTTTCTTATTCGAAATGCTGCCATCTATAACAGAATTTTCATTTGAAGAAAATGGAACCATTCATAGATAACAGTTAATCGATGATGATCATCAATCACGATTTGATTTTCAATAGTTAATTTATAGTTTATGAAATACACAACGAAATTGTAAAATAAGTTTTATTGATGATAATTTTTTATAAAAGTTGTTTTTAAAAATTGGAAAGAAAAATATGCACTGAAAGTATTTAGCGCATATGTTTCTTAAGAAAAAAAAATCTGGTGCCGATTATTTGAATCAATCTGCATGGAGGCGAAAATAATTTTGACGTTCTTATTGCTTTTATTTATTATAGATGGCTCAATGGCTAACAAACGTACAGAACGAAGCTGAAAAAGCTAACAATTTACTTCTTCGAGGTGAGTACGATTTATTTTTCAACTTCATTAATGTTCTTTTTCTTTTTTGTTTGCAAGAATTTTGTCAACAATTATTGGGTAAAAAACTTTTTTCTTTTAATTTTTTCATTTAATTTCTATTTAATATTTTTAATAAGATTATCTTTCACATGGAACAACGCTTCATTATGGAAGGTAGACGTGCTATATTAAAAATAAAATTAACTATGCTTCATATTTAGAGAAAAAACATTTGAATTCATTAGAAGTTGTTTGGAAACAGAAACTGTGCAAATAGGAATACTTGTTAGTCAAGGTTTGGAGGTTTGTATTGGTCAAACTAAAAATAATTTTTTTGCAATCAGATAAAAAAATTATTGATAAAATTTAATATGATTGTTTTCTTTTGTGTTTGAAACTTAGAAAGAAGAAATCTTTGGAAATGATAAATTTTCTATTTTGTTTTTCATTTAGAATTTGATTCAAGAAGAAGAAGCATGTTCTGTGTGTACATTACAAGAGAAACAAGATTTTCTTCAATATATATTCGATGCTTTTCCTAATGGTTCACCATTGGTTCAACGTGAACTTGTTGGTAGTATTCGTGTTAGTAGAAAAATAATTTTCTCGTGATTTTATTCGAAACATTATCTGCATTTAGTTAATGTTAAATGTTGTACGAACTCAATGTCTTGTTCTTTCTGGACATATTCTCTGCAAATTGATTCAAGTAAAATTTAATATTTTCTATTATCAAATAAAATTATATATTGTTTTGTTTTCAATATGTATAAATAGTTTACACTTGGCATTTTACGAACAACAAATATTGATTTACGACGAGAAACATGTCAATTATGTGCATCAAAACTTGAAGCTTTTTATCATTTTCGTCCATTGATGACAAAAGAAGTACGTGTAAATATTTCTAAAATACTTTTTAATTGATTTTTATTTTAATTTAGGATCATGAATATACAGGTTCATAGTTTTATTGATTAATCGATAATTATTTAAAACATTTATTTTTACTTTGTCTAAAATTTAGGTGATGGAAATATTATTTTGAATCAAACTGAATTAGATTATTATAAACAATTTTTGACTGTAATGGATTATCAAACATCACTTATTCATGAATTATCAAGAAAACCAGACCAAACCCTTCAACGAATATTTGTACTTGAACTTCATGATTTACTTATAAGATCATTAACTCGTACTATTTGTTTTTATCAGCCATTTATTGATTTTATTTGGTAAAATTATCAATAAAATATTATTATTTTAAATAATCTTTTTTAGGAAAAAATATTCTCCAGCTGTTATTTCATTTCTTGGTAGTCCAATTATTGATGCCCGATGTATAATGTATGTTAAAAGTAATGCATCTGATCCACATCTTCGACGAATAGTATATAGGTATAGATTTTTCATTTAAATTTTTTAATAATATTTATTTATGATCAATTAGAATTATTTTAAATTTAATTTGCTTTATTGCACCAATCGGTTCATTACGTACTGTAAGTGAAACACTTTTTCAACGTTTATGTTTATCTCAAACAACAAATGAACGATCGGATTTACTTATTGTATTAAATGAAGTACGAGAATTTTTGACAAAAAAAAAAATCTTCTTTTTTTCATATTGTTTATTGATAACAGGTGGTTACAAGTCAATCGTTAATATCGCTTATATCGCCACCTTGGATTAATTCAGTGGAGGCAACTAATGATTCTGATTTGAGTTTATTTCGAAAGTAAATTTTGATAAATAGTTGTGTTTTTTTTTGTTCTAGTAAAATAATGATTAAATTCCTTTTTAGAATTCTTTCAATAATTGCTGAATGTTCATCATCTGATGATCGAACTTTAGTTAATAATGCTTATCTTTGTCTTAATCATTGTCTTGAACAATTATTAAAATTTTGTGATGAAGCATTATTTTTTGATAATGATGAAGAACAATCTATTCGAAAACTTTATAAAAAATTTCATTATCCTATTGTACCATTATTTATTGATACCAATAATCTTTTAAATTTATTAAAAAATGAAAATAGAAATAGAAATGAAATCTCTTTAACATCCGAATCATCAACATTAGATAAAGTTAATTTTTATATTTATCATTTAAAAATCCTTCTTAAAACAAGTGATGAACAACATATAACAGCAGTGTCCGATTTCGATGATGCTTTATTACAATTTTCATCTTTTATTAGTAATGGTAAATCTATTATTATTTAGTTTTTTTCTATTTTTTAAATAATCATCTTTTTTATTCTATTTATAGAATATTCATCAAAAATGTCACTTTCATTAGATCCATTCACAGCTATTGTTACAAATCCTGATGGAATATATGCAATAACTATTTGGTTTTTATGGTATTGTTGTCGAAGACAATTACAACAGTTATTTGATTCAAATATACTGTCAACTATTTCAAAAGTAATTCTATTTGAAAAGAATAACTTTTTCGTTTTCATTGAATTATTTATTTTTATTCTTTAAGAGTGCATTTGTAGCTGATATAATGAATTGTGGTTTGATGCTTTGCATTGAGCCAGATTGGATGGATACATTATATGACGTTCATTTCGAACAATTTAATATTTTTGACGATCTTTCAGAACAATTTAAAATAGTTCTGCATCAAATGTTAATAGGTACTTAAAACAAAATGTTTGTTTTATTTTTATTTTTTTATTTTTATCAGATATTCGTTCATTTAATATTCGATCTGTTAAAGCAGCTAGTGGAGATTTAACATCTAGGCATGAAGCAAAATCGATAGGTATGAAATCTATCAAAATTTCATTGAAATAATTAACTTTATTATTATTTAGCACTTTCAATTTGTCATCGTTTGATACAAATGTGTTGGAGTGCATTATTAGGGGCATTGACACCGATGCTTACAAAGAATCATTCAATAGATTCAGATCTTACAGCATCAAATTTAATTTTATCAAATACAATAAGTGAAAAATTTATTGAAACACATGAACTTGTTTTTCAAGGTTTAAAATTAATTTTTCAATTAGCTGTTACTGTTGGTATGTAGAAAGATATATTTTCTTTTTGTATTTCATAAAATGGTTTTTATTTTAAGGATTGCCGGATAATGCTTGTTATGTTCTTCATTGTGTCGTTAGTACAATTGAACAAGGTTGGCTTATAGATAATCAAAGAAAAATATTTACAAAACATAATCGTCTTCATTATCTTGACATAATGGCAATTAATTTTATTCTTCAATTATATATGAATGATATTAGTAATTGTCCAAGTATTACTTATAAATATATATTAAGGTATTTTAATATATAAAAAAATATTTATTAGTGATTATTTATTTAGATGTTGCGTTCATTTATGTCTTTTGGAAATGCAATGTTGTCCACCAAAAGAAAAACTTGATTTAACACTTCATCAACATGGACATGTTTCTTATGAACTCAATAATGGAAAGTAAGCTAATTTTCAAATAAAGCAAAAGCTAAATAAAATATTTTCAATATTATTTTCTGAAAATGTGATGTATTCTGTTTCAAGAATTAACTTATTAAATTCTGTATTTTTCTTGACATTCTATATCCAAATGAATAGAATATTATTAAAAAAGTAATAGAATTGAAATTGTTCAACACGTATTCATCAGGCACTATGTGCAGACTTCGGCATCACCAGTCATGGAATGAGTCTAGACAATTCATTAACGATCACTAGGCTTAGAATTCTCGTCCCCATAGCATGCTGACTACGGTATGATATACACCTAATCTTGTGGCTAGTATATGGTTAGTTTGTGTGTATGGCGAGCTCAAGTAATTGAACGCAAGAGCTCAGCGTTAGACCAACTTTATGTCCAGAGCTACAGCTAGTCATATTTGTAGAAAAGATATCAAACTAATGAATCTACCGCTAGATAGTAATTCATACTGTAAGGTACTAGAAACGAAACAACGTTCTTCTTTCCTTTTTTGAAGTCTCTTGAAATCTCTTGAAGTCTAGTGAGATTCATTGAATTCATTAGAAGTCTTTTGATGTTTCTTGAAAATTTGAAGTTTGCTATTTCTCTTTTCATTGAAACTAAACAAATATGATGGTTAACAAAGTCAACAAAGAAAAATATTTCCTTATTAACTTACAAAGTATTTAATATAAAATTTTTTCCAGTTCATCATCATCGTCAAATGATTCATCAACTACATCTCTTCTTCAATTGTCGAATATTGATAAAACTGGTCATATTCATGATAAATCATGTGCAAATATTCTTCAAGCATTGTCTTGTCGATCAGACAAGTAACCGCTGTTTTTTTTTGTCTAAACTTTTCTTTATTGAATTCTTAAAAATTTTCATATAGATTATTTGAACTTGTCGTTCGTCATCTCGATCTGGATTCATTACTTGAATTTTTCGAACAAATTCGTTTATTAACTGAAACACCAATACCAAAAAGAACAATCGATATAGCTCCAACACCTCCACAAAATCTTTTTCCAATGCATGTAGTTATCGAAAGAATCGGTGATATGACATTGGGTAATAAAAAAATGAATTAACATGATCATTAACAGAAAAATACAAAATTAAAAAATTATTTTATTTTATAGGAATTATTGCATCACTTCGACCACGTTATCATGTGTGTAAAGTATGGAGTTGTGTTTCACAATTATTTATTCAAGTAATTTTTTAACAAAGATTTTAAGATAGGAAAATTGTTTTCATCTATAGGGAGCAACACATCGAGATATTCAATTAGCAAAACGTACTATATCTCATATGCATAGAGATTTACGTTCATGGCTTTCTGTTCGTCCAGAATATCCTAATTTTCAATTGAATGAAACTTTTTTTAAACCATTTGAACATTTAATTTGTACGGAACAATGTGACAGTATTGTTGAAAATCAAGTAAGAAAAAACAAGCCCTTGATTTGAACCCTTAAAATCTAAATGTTTCTTCCAAAAAATATGGTTATAAATGCTATAAAAATCGTAATAAAGGCTTATGTGTAAAAGAAAACAATATTTTATCAGATTTAGATGACCGGATAGATCATAGAGTGATTGTCGGATAGTAGAGTAGGTCTTTTTTCTTAAATTAATAAATTTTTATATATCACTTTCTATTTGAAAAATTTTGTCTAACCATATATACCAACATGGATTTTTATTGTTTTGAATAGTATCACGAAGCACAGCACGAAGCTATCTGATAAAACCATCCCACAAAGTTGGAACCCATCTACTGGCACATGATAAGATCATAAAGAGAATATCCCTTCTAACTGCCATTCAGTTATAATGCCATGAAACATCCTATGAACTCCTAAATAACATAATGAGGGAACCGTTCCAAGTGATAACTTGTTTTTCAGTTTGCACTCTACTCATCAAGATATACCTAAGTGAAGTATGAAAATCTCAAAAAGAATAAGCGATATTAGGCCTTTTTATCTAGAATTCTAGCCATTTTAATGACACAGTGAGTACTAACAAATCGAATAATAAATATCTGAACTTCAAATTTTCCTCATAGATACATCTATGTGTAACTGGACAGCTCTGGAAATTTCAGCTCAAAAGAAAATGTTTTCTTCATGAGATATTCAAGTTCCAAAATTTACTATTTATCATGAGAGAGGTGAGAACCTCATATCTTTTTTTAAATTGTATATCTCTTAAAGAAAATAGTCTATTGAAATGAAATTTGCAGCGCATCCTAGTTACGCGTAGACTCATCCATGCACAAAATTTCAAGTCCAAATATCATCATTCAATATGTTGGTACATAGCGTGTCATTAACATGCCTATAACTCCCAAGAGAAGACCTAAGACAGTATGTTATTTTGAGTTTTTCATACCTCACTATTCTCTAGCTTATACATAGAGTCCGAAATCAAAAACAAATTATCACTTGAAGCGGATGCCTCACTAAAGTTATTGAAGTATTCGTGAGCGAGTTTTTTGATTATTTTGTATCCTACTAAGAGCTGCCGCAAATGACTAATCAAGCAAGAGATCTCCCACTTTCATTTCATTGAGAATTTTTCACGATCCTCAAAATTGTCTTTACCGGATGACAGAGATACCAATCTCACTCTGATTCTAAATCTTTTCCAAAAGTGCTGATTCTAGTGACGCAGAATATTTAATAATCATTTCGTCGGTGAATTAAGACCACTAGTATAATTATCAGATGAACCTTTCCTCTCCGCTAATATTAATTACACAATACTTAGATAGTCTCACGAAACAAGCATTATTGTGAAACGGAAAGAGCGTAACTATTGTTTGCTTCAATTGATACTTAATGTAGTAAGAAAGAAGTTCTTCTAATACAAATTAAGAAAAGTAAGAAATTCATGTCGTTAGCGCCGAATGTCTCGTTCAAGAAGCATTCTATATCTCTATTAGAAGAAAGGAGCAATTTTGTTGTAAACTACAATATAAGTACAGTGTAGGTTCAGAGTTTCTATTTTTGTGGTCAAGCTGAACTTGCTATCAAAAAAAAAAAAAAAAATTTCCGTTGACATTTAATAATTAAATAAGACGAGCTACAAATAAAATGGTTGTTTTCTTTTCACATAGATTGTTAATTCAATATGTGAACTTGTCGAACTAAATACCAATGCAATAATGTCCGGTTGGCGTTCAATATTTGCTTGTTTGAAAGCAGTTAAAATCGAACAACACCGTCGTTCTATTGAAATAAATACTACCGTATCAAAAGAAAAACAAAATGATGAAGATGAAACTGAACAAGCAGGTGTTGAACTTTATCGAGTTAATGCTATATTAGAAGTTCTTGAAGCATTTTTTTCATGTGAAAATCTTAATGTTATATCACAAGCATCAGTTGATTGTCTTCAATGTTTATTTTGTTATTTACGTGAACCAGGTTAAAATTAATTTATTATTAATATATTGAAAATATATTTTCTCTTTTTTTTCAGAACCATTTACACCAATGGTTAATAGTCCATTTGGTGATAGTTTTGATGAAAATGATGATGAACATAATCAAATTGAACTTGTTATGCCAGCTTTAAATATGATACAAAAGTTCACTACTATTTTTATTCATTGTTATGTTACATCATCAAATCATGTTTTTGCTACAAAAAAACGGTATATGCGTAACTAAACCTTCTTTTGTGAAACATGATCTAAAAAGGAGTGCTGAATTTGAGAGGTAGAAGTTTGAATCATCCCCACAGACCGTAACAGGTACGATCGAAGACTGTCTATCAATAACATCTCGTTCTAATAAATGAACTACTTGCTTATTTTGTTTCTGAAGGATTAAGTAAAAGGATAGTAAAGAAATATATCCTAAAATGGATAGAATAAAACAATCTCTCTGCGATTAGCAAGAACAGCTAGATTGTGTTTTATGTTTTAGTCCTACAGGAATTGTGCTAACAGGTTTTTTTTGTTTTGAATTAATAAATGTAAATAATTTTAGAACTCGACAATTTGAATCAACATCGTTTACTTATTCGACATTTTCAAATTTTTCGTCATCATTTTTTTCATATCTTGATATATCAACAACATCTGAAACAATTCTTCGTTCATTTGAATTTAAACTTGTTGGTTACATGAGACAATTATCAGATGATCTTGATATTATCGATAATACAACACATCTTCTTAATGTTTGGTCATATATGATTGAAGGTCTTACTGATACCATATTTTCATGTTCAAATCATTATCATATTAAAATAATTGATCAATATTTTGTTATTTTAAAGTTAACATTTGATAGTGTTGGTCATCGATTTTCAATTTGTCTTATCTGTTGTGTTATTATTCCATGGTTACAATCATTTGTGTGTTCAAATTTTTTAAAAATGACTTCATCATTAAAAAAATTAACTATATTTCGACGACATGCACAACGACAAAATTCAACATTGATGAATATAACAGCTTGGCGTTTATTTCTTGGAAATTTACTTGAACATATTTTGTATATATTTGAAATGGCTAAAGAATTTGAAGAATATCATCATATTTTATTTGATTGTTTTCAGTCAATGTTAATCGATTGGCTTTGTGTTGCTAATGAATATGTTGGCCGTCTTGGTAAGTCTAAATATTTTTAAAGCAAACCTTGTCAGCACAGCTCTCTTGGGTCTACACTGTGACACTTACAGACTGCAGCCGATAGTTTTTGAAGAAATAAATACAAAATAACACATCTCGTGGTGATAGATTTAGAGGGGCGATCCTCCTTCCCTTCTAAAACTTTTTTGCGATTTTTCTACGTATACAACACCCAAAAATGAGCCGATACGACTTCGATAGGATTCAAAATACATTTCGTGATAATGATCATTCCTTCGGCTCAAAATCCAAAACTAACCGCTGATTTATCGCTCCTAATTCAATTCAACTAGAGAAATCGTAACTTTGTATTATTTTCATATTTTATATTTAGTCTTAATTAAAATTAAAAAAATTAATGATACAAAGAGAACAAGGTTGTTTAGTATAAATCGCAACATTACTTAGAGATGTCCAACTAGCATTAGCATTGTATTAATTAATGCATTAATTAATGCCTTTGTATTAGAGTTAAAAAATTAACTTAATACTTTTCTAATACTAATGCCAAAGCATTAAATTATTTTTTAACACTAATGCTAACTGAAGACCCCTAATATTACTAATATTTTGATGATCGTTAGCTTTCTTTTCCACTTTTATCATCATCATTTAACGATCTATTTTCATCTCCTTCATTAATGTTGCCTTTTTTTGAAGCACAATCTTCGTCATCGTCTTTTGGTTTATCCTCAAATTTTCTTTTTGACTAATATGTAGAGGAAGAAGAAGGAAGAATACCTTTGTCTCTCGGCTATCTTGCGATAAAGTATTTTGGTTAGCGATAGATTCATTAGCCCGATATCTTTCGTACAACTAATACTAGCTTCAGATTCGTACAGAAGGCCGACCTTACACAAAATTATTATGCTCAATTGCGTAAGCTCCACGTATACACTGACTAAACTGATACTAGCCTCGGGATAGGTGTATATTATTACTTAGTCAGCATGTTATCGAACGGATGATTCAAAACAAAGGGCCGTTATTGACTCGAACCAGAATCACTCCATGACTAGCGACATCGTGGTTTGAACACCGTACAGATTGGATACGTACCGACCAGCGTAGCCACTCAGCCATGACGGTCGATATGTAGAAATCAACAAATCGGCCACACTGGTCTCTAGTCATGATGCCAACACAAAATACGTAAAGTGAAAAATCTTTAACAGACTGTACTTGTTTTCAAAGAACAATCGGTCGATTGAGGAAACGATGTCTTATTTATTTCTGTATTTCGAACAGAAAGTTCTTTTTACTGGAGTTCTATTTTTTGTTTGTCTTTTTGGTATTCTCTCGGCGCTTTTTATTTTTGTACTCCATTTCGCTTAATTAAACATGATTATTATTCTAACTATTGATTTAACTGACAATAAAGTCTCTTATACAAATCCATAATATCTATAGCAGATTTCAACGCACTATTCTATATTTAATTATATCGTTAAGCTCAGAAACACTAATATTTATTATTTCACAATGTTATAGATCGAACAGCTCATGCTTTTTATATTGATCATATCATGGCCATCGCAAATCAATCTATCCCTAGCCATTATCCTTGAGATCTTGACTATAGATTTTTATCTGCTCAGAAATCAAAAACTGTCATATTACGAAAATTAACCTACTTATTCCAGCCATTCAAATTTCGAAGAAGGATTTGGAATGTCTTAGAACAGTCTAAGTCCACCTTTTTCCATTGCTAAGTTATTCTTAAAAAATGTCTGACACCTGCTGACTTCGATTGCTATGGAAACGTGCCTAATGATTATTAGTCTTGACTTCCCTTACTCGTTGCTATGAGGCAGAGCCACAAAACCTCGACTCAAAACTAAAACTCACAATATTTTTCTTCAAAACACATAATGTGAGTTCCACGAAATATTTTCTATTTTATGATGATTAGGTTTATCCTGTATTAAACATCTTATTTCAAATATATCGAAAAAATTTGATCAATCACTTAAATCAATATGTATTGATAATCTTCAACATGCCCTTTTACTTACATCATTACCAACAGAATATTTAATGTATGAATTTCTTGTTTCGTCACCTGAAGATCTTCTTCATAATGTACGTGTTTTTGTACAAAATGATTCAAGTTCATCTATATTATCATCATATGGAATAGCTAATGGTGATATTTCTATTTTCCCACTTTGTCAACAACTTTTTAATGAGCATTATCAACATCACCAACAACAACAGAAAGTTATCGAAGGAAAATTCTTTCGATTTACATTTCGAACAAAAACAGCAATGATAAATGATCCTAATCCACATGAAATACAAATGAAAACTTTTGTTTTTTTAAATTATTTTCATTTACAATTAATTCATATTGTTGGTGAATTGAATTGGTCAGAATTAATACCATGTTTAAGTCAAACAATTGATGTAGCTGAACGTTTTGATTCAGCTATTAGTAATTTTGGTTTAAGAAATATTTTACAGCAATTATTTAATTTTGATCCACCAGCTGTAACATTTCAACATATTAAACGAATTGCATTTCAATATCTTGTCGATTATTTAATGCGTGGAGTTAAAGAGGAACTTGTTAACCAATCAATTCAATCAGCTAATTCTAGTTTACAACAAGTATGACTACTATTGGTGCCAGAATTCAAGACATTCGGATGTTTTTTTTTGAATAACCTTCCATACAAACAAGATAGCGATCTGCCGTTGTCAACGTATGATAACGAAGACCTAAAGATATATCTTTATGAGCAAAATCATTTTTCGAAAACAAAAATCCGATGGTCAGTTTTTGAAACCTGCCATATAAGTCTATTGATTTTTTTACCTGAGTCGATAGCCCACAGTGTTCCATATGAAACTAGATCTGTACAAATGGTTTATTTTGTAAGGTCTAGAAGTATCAGATAGTTTATCCGACGCCCTCGGATTTCTCTTTCTTTGTTTGTGGCACTATTATAAACACTTGAAAACATAGGTTATCAACTGTGTTGAACGTCGTAGTAATATTCATTTTCTTTTCAGAATAATCCATTTTTGATTGTATCCGATTCTAATTAATGTATAGTGTTTCCATATGGGTGCATTTGGGTGTTAGCGTAGTGAGAGTGGATACCGATATCTACATAACCATGCAGATAAATCACCTCTCTCTAACAGTAGACAATTTGTTTTTAAACATTTTTTATATCTTATTCAAGCGAGAAGAGTGCGTAAATCACTACAAAAGCATTTTTTTTTACGCGGAAATATCATATATTAATCAGGATTGGGTACAATCAGTAAAAGTATTCTTCTAAAAAGAAAAGAAATATTACAAAGACGTTCAGCATTGTCGGTAACTTTTGTTTTCAAGCGTTTAGATTGGTCCTATGCCTACAGAAAGAAGCATCCTAGGGTGTCGAAAAACTATCTGATGCTTCTAAATCTTGGATGATAAAACATTTGTATAGATCTAGTTTTTTATACGACACCATGGACTATCTACGTAAATAAAACAACCAATAGGCTTCTACGCTAGTTTTCAAAAATCCAGTGTGGCTTCCAAAGATCCTTTGAAAAACTGATCTTCAGATTTTTTTCTCAAAAAAGATCTTGCTTAATAAGATATATATCCAGATATTCCTTATCGTACGTTGAAAACCTCTGGTTTCTACTTTGTTCCTATAAAAAGTTATTCAGAAAACACCGAATTCCCTTGAATTCTGGCGCCGATAATAATCAATCAAATTATTTAATATTTGATATTTTTGTTTTGTTTTGTTTTGTTCGTATCTTGTAGGAAATTAATGAACAGTTAGACAACAATCCTAATGAATATATATCATTTCCCGAAACACAATCACCTAAGCAAGAAACAGTTGAAGATATCGAGAAAAAGAAAGGATTTTTTAATCAATTTGCATCATATATTGCTACAAATCCACATAATTATATTGATCTATTAAAAATGCTTGGTGACGGTATAGCTGATTTACTTTTTACTGGTTCAAATCGATTGGAAACTTGTACAGAAGTAATCTTAAAAAAGAACAATAATAAAATTTTATGTTTCTATTGTTTATTTATTTTCTTGATACAGATGAATCAAACTGGTCTATATCTCTTACGAGCAGATCAAGATTTAATTGCTAAATTTATACCATCAACAGCACAAACAAGTTTAAAACAATTTTTCATATCTGAAAATGAAACTGAATATTTTGTTGTTAATCAAGATATGATTTCTCGTGTATTGCACGACCATAAAATAATACGTAAGGTAGATACAACAAATGTATCATCGCCTGTACATCGTAAAAGTTTATCAGCTCAATCACCATCATCAACTCATCATCCATTCTTCTCACAAACTTTATTTAATGAAACTACAAAAACCATAACGTATGCTATATTTATTTGATTAAAATAAATGATCGATTTAAATAATTTAGTGATGATCAACGTACATTACAAGAGACACTTTCTACACGAAATACCGAACATATATCTGTTGCTCTTAAACATTATGTTGATGGATGGAATGATTTATGTTTATATTTAGCTACTGCATTACAGGAAAATGGTTGTTGGTGTTCATCAACAGGATCTAATAATAATCTTCTTATATCTTCTCTCGAAAGATGGCTATTTGTATGTGCAACGAATGCTACAAATCGACAACTTAAAAATTTACTTTTGGATATCTTAATGAAATATGGAGGAAAAGAAACAATTATTACACGAACATAGATGTATTGATAATTATTATAGATCTGATAGGTTAATCCAGATACATCAAGTTAAGAAAGTGAGTCGTATTTATTTTTGTGCAATATAGTCAATAAAATTTGTGAATGTTTATTTCACTTTGTGTTCTTATTATTAAAGTAAACGTTTTATTTTATTTTATTTTATTTTATTTTATTTGTTTGTGGGATCTAATTATTGTTATGTTTTGTTTGTTTTGGTGGGTTCATTTAACGACAATAAAAAACACATTTGTGTCAGTCTTATGTGTATCATTAAACATTATCTTAATAATGAAATATTCTTTATGATTAGTTTTAAGGATTTCTCTCACAATGAATTTCCTAATCAGCACGAATTGTCCTATTGAGAAATGCTTTTGATAGAAATTTTAGCTCAATACATCAAATTAAAATAAACTTTCAAGTTTATCATAGTCCATTTATGGTTATTGGGAGAATTCCGAAGGTTATGTCATTAAAAGAGAAACATAAGTCGGGTAGCTTCAGATCAAGAGGAAAAAGCATACTTCTCTAGTTGTAAAGTACGAAGAAGTACTGAGAAGTACGAATAGGTGTGTGACAGCTCCAGCTCACTCGAACTGGAGCTGAAACTGTTCAGCATCTCAGCTCCCGTGAGCTAGAGCGGGTCACCAGTTCTTTTCGTATGAGCTATCTCATAGCTTTCTAGTGACTACCTGAGGAGGGTCCTAAGATCTTCAAGGCCTATTCAATAGAGATACTCATAAGTCTGAAAGGACTCTGCTATGAGGGTACCTACAAGTCCTCAAAAGTTATTCTAAGGGGTACCCATAAGCCTTTAAGGACTATCCTGTGGAGTGCTTATTAGTCTTCAAGGGTTATCCTATGGGGGGTATCCATAAGTCCTCAAGGACTTTTCTATTGACCTACCCATAAATTTTCAAGTGCCATCCATGAGCGGTACCCAGAAGTCACCAAGGGCTATCGAGGTTTGGTATCCTTAAATTGTGAAAATCATGGAGCCATTCTCGTAAAGAAAAATCATACTTCATTTTGCAACAAATTTAGTCTTTTTCTACTGTTAGTCTTGATGCAGAAAGTTTGGAAAAATTGTTAGTCATACATAGCGTGGAAAGTTGTATCTAATAAGATAATCTTGAATGTGTTCATCTAAGAAGTCATCAGAAAGTTGCTGAGTTTACAAGATGATCCATAGAAAAGCAGTCTATTCGAGCATACACCAAAACTTTGTACTCTGCTTAGCTTCACTATTAATATGATAATTATATGTCATTCTAATCGGGAAAATACTAGAAAAAAGTATGTACACTTTTTTCTTCCATCATACTACAGCTGAGAGCGACAGTTCTGTTCTCAACATGTAGAAGACAAGAAAGGTCAATTTTAGCACAGTTAGGTTTTACCGATTTATTTACATTCTAAAGTTGAACGAACATAGGTAAAAAAACATACGAATCTGAATAAAAATGTTTCTATAACATTTCCCGCTTTTCTAGATGGTCTTATAAAGTCATTTTCATGCAATAGTTTGACTATAATGACATCTGAAATCATCTTTCAGTTCTTTCTGGTAACTCATATCTTCTCTTTCAATCATTCGTCATCATTTACTGATTTAACAACCAAGTTATGATGTAAACGTATATAGGCCATTCGAAAAATACATAAACAAAAGAATTGCTTGATTCAAAATCAATATACTAAATATCGTTTAAAACTACTGTTGGTTATCTTTCTAAGCGAACTTGTTTACTTCATTCTTGTTATCAGGCTTGCGTGAAGGTTTTGATACTGGTACCTCCAACATACCCAACAAACCTTTAGAATGCCCCAATTTACCATCAGCACGTCGTTACTCAGAAAATGTTACTCATTTAGTGGCAGAAGAACTTAACAAAGGTTTCTTAATCGGTCCTTACTACTCTTCGCCTTTTATTAATTATCGAATAAATCCTATTGTATTCATAACGATGTTATGATATTTTTAGGCACTGGTTGAACAATAGCCATTGCACAGGATAGTCTCGCTGCTCGATTATATCAAGAGAAAATGCATTTCATCTATCTAGAAGAGCAGGTGAGCAGGTTACATCGATAGAATGCTCTCATTGAGCGAATTATCGAGCACGTAAATAGGCACAGCTAGAAGGAGATACAATCCTGAAAATAAACGTTAACCATTGATGACTAGTCTCATTTGATGAATGCATAGTCTTTGAAATTACTAGTGGATTCACAAATATTAAAAACTTTTCAAACATTCGTTTCAGAATAAAATTGATTTCTGTGTATTGAGGATAACTTAAAAATGAAACCAACTCACTTACTACGGTGTTGTCCACTTTCACTATCTGACAGTGACAATTGGATATACATTTTAGAGGTGAATTCATATAAGGACTTGAACAGATTTTGGTACTGAATCATGGGACAAAGTTTTTTTCGATCAATCTCTGACATGTATCAAAGCCTGAGTAGTGAGCATTTCATTTGTTTGTTTTGGTTAAAGAGTATCATTTTAGAATTTCTTTCCATTCTAAAGTAGTTATCAAAAGATTCAAATCTTGCAAGAACATATTATACATCATTCAAAAAGATAAAATGAGTCTATTAATTGTGCTACGAAAATAATGTAATCGACGATTTTGAAATGTGGCATAGTGCTAAATACTTGTTCTTTTCCTACAGATCCACTTCTGCCACTTATAACATATGAAAGTGAACCGGTCAGTTGAATAACGATGTTTGTCTTGCCATTTGGAATAACGTGATTATGTGCATCACCGCCATTGGCGTAGCCATTGGTATGCTGACTCCATCTACCCTGATGACATTGATCCTTGACCGGTCTTGTCGTCATGGTCGTGGTCCGAGTCTTCCTATTTGTACGTGTTATTACCCGCATCATTTGTGATGAATGTTCTCTGATCGTGAGTATGCAGACAAGTACCATCCTTGTTAATATCGACAGTTTCATTTTCGCGAACATCGATGCCTAGTGGAAAATGGGCCTGTAAATCAAGCAATGAAACATCTTCATGTGATCAGCTACATGAGATAAAGTGCTAATGACTGAGAACAGAATAGACTATTTTGAAGGAGAAACTTCTATACCGTCACAGCACAGCTAATTTAATGGTAGTTCTAGTTCTGCATACATTATGGTCGTGTCAATAGGAAATCAGCTGAATGAATTCACAGGAATAGAATTTAGCTCGACGCAGTGAAGCCAGCGTCTGAGTAAAAAGAACTATCTTTATACGATGACAAACCATTCCAGAATCTCAGTCTTACGCTTTGAATAGCCATGATATTTAATTCGTTCCATGCTATATACACATCTATAGGATACTAGTATGATATCTTTTATGACTAGACAGATTATCCTAATTATATTTGATGTTCTTTATCTTAACTTGAGCGAGTTCGCACTTTACAATTTGTCGCTATTTCACAAGGTCTAAATGTCTTTTATTGCTCTCAACGAACCAACGCAGTAGGCAGTCTATAAAGATAGAACTGTATTAACATAAAGGAATTATTTATAAATGTCTTTTATAATCTTCCTATTTCGCAGTTCGCCGTTCTAAAGGAGTTGGGATGTGGATGCGGTGTTGTCAGAGTTTTTAGTCAGCATATGCTAAGCCCACGCAGAATCTTTACGACCGATAGATGAGAAAAAAGTATCTTCTCTTTAACCATTCTCTCTGTTCTCATGAAAAGTTCGACGAAAATTACTGTTAGGTCTTAGTAGAAATAGAAGTAATGTGATTGAGCTGTTACTTTAGAACAGAAATATTATCTGGTATGAGCTTCGAACACTGTCTTTTGTGTATGATCAGTCTTATCCTTCAGTAAACTTCCCTTTCTTCTTTTGCCGATACCTCAGATCCTCATTACCGTGATTATTAAAAAGAACTAATTATGTTCTTTTTTCTCAAATCTGAAATCACAGGAGTTTCTTAGAAGAAAAATCTAAGAGACTGAGATTTCTGTTTACCAAAAAAGTACATACAACAGCATAGTCGATTTATAAATTTTGTATATCTTGGCTTTATTAGATGGTATTCGACTTTTATCTTCTGCCAAAGATTAGTGAAAGACAATATCACCAACGAGGTCAGATTTGTCGACTAAACTACTGAAGAATGTTACTAAATTTGGCTTGGAAATAGTTTGTAGTCAAAATACTTGGGCAGCAAAGCCGAATGCATTTCAGAAATATGAAAGCCTGCTACATTTTTCAAAATATTTCGAAACTTTTATTTGAATTTGTGAAGTGTTACAATGTTCGATAATGCTGCATTACATTGATTCGAAACAGTAGAATTTTTACACACTGAACTACAGTAAAAGAACCAAGTCTTATCTTTAGCGATAAAAGTAAATTTTCTTATTTAGGAACATTCTTGACGATGTCTAGTTCTTAGAACATTATACACATGGTGAACGATTTTCATATGAAGTACCTCACACCCACCCCATATGAATTTACTAATCATAGTATCCTCCTCATATATGCTCAACTCACTTTGGTATGATGTCATGTTTTTCAAACAAAATTGAATAATTGCTTAGCATCGTAGTTTTTCATAGATTTTTTTAGTTCGTACTATTTATAGAGTATATTTTTCACAAACATAAGAGATAACAAAGCCAATATAGCGTGGAATGTAGACTAAGTATAAAGTTGATAAATGACGTCAATGTCTGAACAGTAGTTAAACAAAGCGAAAAATTACTATAGAATGTGTAGTCCTATGAAGTTTTTTTCTTCACCATAGATACCAAGAAAGAGAAAAAGCAGGAAATTAAATGGTGAGAAGCACTATAGTCATGAAACACTGCTATTTTAATATTACTGTGGTAATTAGGAGAAAGACGTTACTAATGCAGCTGTTGATGTGACCGTTTATAGAGTCAAAGAAAAGAAGAATGGTTCATACTGATATACTGATTGGCGCGGTCTCGTAGTGACCGGTATCGATACCAGTAAGGAAA